GGCTACTTGTTCTAGCTAATTTGCATCTGAATAAACATACTAAAAATTAAAATAAAAAAGCATAGGACTGTTTGCATTTTTCTGCTCTGATTTGTTCTCCCAGACACATGAAGAAGTTGAATAGCCAGTAACAGAATTTACTGGACATGTAGTCTTTTTCATTTACAACATGTAGTCTGCTTTCATAGGGAATGACTGCTGAATTGAAAGAGAAAACAATCTAAAAGAATCCTAAATCAGAATTTGTTTCTAGCATGGAGTTCTGGCATTCATTCCACATTGTGGGAAAAACTGAACATGAATCTAATTACTTTTCAGCCTCTTCATCAATATCCTGCTAACAAAGAACCACTGAAATCTAAAAAAAATTTTTTTTAAATTTAAAAAACTACTGCAGAAGTTGAATCTTAACACCTCTCACCTCTGCCACAAAAATGGTTTATGTCAGTGAGCTCAAATGTGCTTCAGGTTTGTTCATACCTACTACTCACACTGCTTAAACAAACCAGGGCATTTTGCAGCTCTGCAGCAGGAGATGGTAGCTCCCAGAATAATGCCAGAAATCACATGGCAAGCTGCAGTGTTTTAAATTGTCTTAGTCACCAGCTCAATGAATATCTGCATGCAGTCTTGACTTTCTTATTTTCTGTTTGACCTATATTCCACGATCTGCCAGCAAATGCAACAAAACTTGCTCCAAAAAATCATGGGAAATGGTTATTCTATTTTGGTAAATATTGAATAAACAGCCCTAAGGAAGACACGTTTGTCAAACCAAAATATATTACTGCTTTAACCTCACAACCATTGGGTAGCTCTGGGAATGGAATTAAAATCTTCAGTAGAATTTAAAAATATCGTGATCTCTTGCTTATTTTCCTTATCTTCAGGAAGACATGTCACTAAGATTAAGAACTCTTTTCAGTACACAGAAAGATAAATAAGCTCTTGAAAGAAAGACTAAAAGGAATTAAAAGCTACAAGAAAGACCTTTAACTAGACAAAAAAGCCTTGATAGAAAATTCTCACTTGTGATCATCAGCTTTTTCTGTTGGATCCTTATACAGCTGGAAAAAATGTCTTAAAGATTCTTGTTTGGATTTTGTGATTGCTTAACTACTTGAAGCTGTAGTTATTATACAGAACACTCCAGGGATCTAGGAAAGCCCCATTTGAGAAGAACATTATTCATAAATAAACTCTGCAGTTCTGTTTTGATCTTGTCTTTATTTCTCTCATTAATTACTTCTGCCATTAGCTAAACTATTTCAGCACTTTGCAGTGTATGATCGCTAAGTAACACTTCTAGGGGCAAAGACTTAGAAAATCTGAGTTTTTAAAGATCGTTTCTTTTATTCCAAGGACAATAAGAGGCATGGAGCACAAAAAAGCGCCTTCATATAATACTCTAAGTTCTTAAAAGAAGAATCAAGGCCAGTTGGATTGTTGGAAATGGACATTCCCTCATACAATGGGAAGAAAGTTTGGTCCTCAGTAACAAGAACTTTACAGATAGGAGAAGCATACAATTACCTGATGGAAAGGAGTCTTTCACACTCCAAACAGACTGCTGGTAGTATAGCAGCAGAACACCAAATTAACAATAATATGAGGGTGACAGCAAAGCATCTCAGGATTACAAAAATCTCATCCAAAGAAGGAAGTAAACATCCCAAAATAAAGGCATGTAAGGGAGAAAGGAATTAACGTCTTAACACAAAAATGTTTGAAGGGTTTGATACCATTATGTTACTATCTGATCTTTCTTTCCTTTGACATTCAGCATTCCTAGAAATTTCTCCCTTCCTGAAATCATTCAGCCCTGATGACACATTCAGTGCAGCATAATTGACCTATAATAGTCTTTAATATTTATATAAGCCTTTCAAGGCAATTCATAAGATGTGGTCTACAAACATAATTATTACTAATTTTACAGACAGATGCATTTGTCCAATCTTAGGTCACACAACAGGTTGTGGAGCTCACTGCAAACTGAATGCACAACCACGCGCAAAGGGAATATGGCATGCCACATAACAAGGATTTAGGAACTCTTTTGTATTTCTAATGCTCCTCAAAAAAGGCTGGTATAGCTTTCTTTGGTTTGGCAATAGCAGCCATGCAGGAGAGTAAGGCTCTATAAATACCTGATTTTAGTCTGACAGAGAAACATCACAGAATCACAGAATCACAGAATTGTAGGGGTTGGAAGGGACCTCCAGAGATCATCGAGTCCAACCCCCCTGCCAAAGCAGGTTCCCTACAGCAGGTCGCACAGGTAGGCATCCAGGTGAGACTTGAACATCTCCAGAGAAGGAGACTCCACCACCTCCCTGGGCAGCCTGTTCCAGTTCCATTCTGACCCCCACACCTTAGATATTTATAGACCTGGATCAGGTCCCCTCTCAGTCTCCTTTTCTCAAGGCTGAACAGACCCAGTTCACTCAGCCTTTCTTCATAGGAGAGATGCTCCAGGCCCTTCACCATCTTTGTGTCCCTCCGCTGGACTCTTTCCAAGAGATCCCAGTCTTTTTTGTACTGGGGAGCCCAGAACTGGACGCAGTACTCCAGATGAGGCCTTACCAGGGCAGAGTAGAGGGGGAGGATCACCTCCCTCGACCTGCTGGCCACACTCTTTTTAATGCACCCCAGGATGCCATTGGCCTTTTTGGCCACAAGGGCACACTGCTGGCTCATGGCCAACCTGTCGTCCTGGTGGACGACAG